CATTAAATCTCAGTCTTTAATTATCCCACATTACGGCCAGGATATAGAAGAGAAAGAAAGCGAAGATGAATGTGATGGGTATGAAAATTCTGGCGATATATCAACTAAAGCCTGTGGTTGGTTTCCTCGTTTATGCATTAAGAATTCGTTGGGTCTCTTAAATCCCATTCCTGGGTTGAAACTTGGGACTCAGGCTTCCATGTCTTCTACCAATGATGTTGAAAAACTGAGCAGAGCTGCTCATAACAGATCTTATAGTCAAACTGTGAAAAAGGTTAGTATAGTACTCATTTTTTCCTTTTCCCTTGATCATTTGTCCTTCGGCTAGTGTCAAATGTTTCTGTTATAACAATGGAAGTTGTTTTATAATGCTAAAATATTTGCATCATCGGGGTTAATTCTTTTCAGCACTTTAAAGATGCTGCTAATAAGCTAAAACAAGATAGTGGGCGGCAATCTCCTAAGCTGCTGGAGTTTGAGAACAAGCTGTCCTGTTCATCCAATCGGTTCATCTATGGAAGTGACCGTCAAACAATGAGTCGGACATCTCCTTTTAGGCGCTCAGCTGGCACATCTCCTTTTAGACGTGCTGGGTGTGTATCTCCTCATCGCAATGAAGCGCCTCAACCTGCCTTTCGTGGCAGGGGATTTCTTGGCATTCCTAAAGAGGCTGAAGATTTGAGAGCCAGTACGGTGAATCTGTACAAGGGCATTAGCAAGTCTCAAGAACTATCATCCTATTATGGGTCTAAACGATGGTCTCGCCCAGCAAGCCCTATTGTTGAGAAGACATTGTATGTAGATACTGTACATAAGGCAGGAATATTATTCCCAGATTCTCGTTCTTCAAATATTAATGAGTATGTGGACTCTGCAAAACGAGACTTCAAGGCACCGTTGAAAAGCAGAGAAATAAAAGAAGCTGCTGCTGAAGAATCCTCTTTTCAAGATGCAGAATGCCTAAATTTTCTGGAAGGAGAGAGTGAACTGGAAAATAAGGTCTTCGGGTCTGCAGATGCTGATTCAGCTTCTCTCTCAGATAAAGCAAACATGATGGACGACCAATCTAAAGCTTTGGTGTGTATAGGTGCAACCACTGATGGAAATGTTAATTCTGATGGTGAACAGATTTCAATAGAAGATGATCAAGGAAATGTGAAAAACAGTATAGTACAGACTCCTCTTCCTCCAATTCTACCAAAAACACCATCTGAATCTTGGCTCTGGCGAACTCTGCCTTCAATGTCTTCACAAAAGCCACCTTCGCATTTGTATCAGGGAACCAGTTTCCAGAGAAAAGGGCATGATCCTAAGATGTCATCTACTAATACCAAATGGGAAACCATTGTTAAATCATCTTATTTGCATAACGATCATGTACGATATTCTGAGGTAATGACATTCCTCTCAAGATTCTTTTTTTTTATTATTTTTTTGCTTTTCCAAGAAAGAAGGTTTCATGTTAAGTTATGGAAGATTTTAACAGTATTTTTTCTCTTACAGGAATTAATTCCTCATGCTTCTGAACACTCCAAGAGTTAGAGATGCAGGGCTCTTTGAATTTTTTTTAACAATTTACTGTTTTGTTTGGATTCTTTCCCTCGGATATCCTCAAAGGCGATTGAATTCTTCCAGCCGACATTTTTTTTTGGAAGATCATGCTTCAATTGTTCAACCCTCCTATGGTAGGTTGACGGAATTCGGCAGTCAGTTTTTTGTTAAGGTTTCTAAGTTTCATAACCCTCCTTTTGATACGCCTGCTCCCATTCATCCAGGGGTGAGGTGATTGGCTGATAAGCCATTATATTTCTTGTACCGCTGGTTTACAGTTTAAGCTTCTGTTTTCTTTTTATCGTTTTGGTTGATGAAACACAATGATATTATAAATTTAATCTGTTTGAATTATAAAAGTCATCAATTAAATCGTTAAGCTAAAAACAATCCGTTAGATCGTTAAGCTAAAAACAATTTAAACAACATTTAGTGAGGAGATTTGCAATGTTATATTTGAATGGGAATGAAAAAATTAATTCAATAAATGATGCAGCCATAAACTAAATTAATTAGGATTTTGTAAGAAAAATAAAAAGAGAGAGAGAGTTTGAGATGTTGCTGTTTCTTTGTTTCTTGCAAAGAAAGAAAATAATTCTGAATTATTATCTGTTAAAAATTATTCTGAAAACGACATATAATTTTTAAATAAATACTCAACCAATCTATTTTGAAAATGAAAGGGAACATAAGAAAACTATAAAAAAATATAGAAACAAATATAAAATCTAAAAATATCTAGGGATATATAAACAAATAAATGAATAATATGTATATTCTAGGCTTAATTTAATGATATTTCCGGCCTCAGCTAATCATAGCAAGCTATTTTTACCATAGAATAAGGCATGTAAAATATTTACATAAAATTTAAACAGGATCGGTTAGATTGAATAAAATATTATGTTCATTTTTTTTTCAGAAACACATTGTTTGACATAATCAATCCAAACCTCTAAAATCCTCAGCTTCAACAATTGATGAAATAAAATATTATATTTTATAGTTTCAAAATTCCAACTTCAAGAAAAAAGATTATTTCTATACATAGGAACTTTTAATATCTTTTTTTTTTTTAATGATGTACCTTTTAAGTTAAGACAATATTAAAAAAAAATTAAGACAACAACATATTTCTTTTTTTTTTTTAATGATGTACCTTTTAAGTTAAGACAATATTAAAAAAAAATTAAGACAACAACATATTAAATCAAATTAGATTTACTCGAATCAATTTAAGTTAGTATATCAAATCTCCAACTAAGCTCATGAGACCCTGATAAATCTTTAGAAAGAAAATAAAAAATTATTAAACTCAATTATTAATCAATCAAATATTAAATGATGAAATTGAAAAGAAAATCTAATTAGAATAATGAGTTAAGTCAATCCAGGTTAACTTGTCAAAGGTTAATCATAAGATCGAGATAACCTTATAGAAAAAAAACTAAAACAAATTATGAAGATGAATTCTAATCAATCTAATGTTAAATAAAATTAAAAAAACAATTAAAAAAGAACATAAAAAATAAATCGAGTTAACTGACCAAACTTATTACCCAAGTTATAAGGCTTGAATAACCTAATAGAAAGCATATTAAAATAAATTATGAAATCTCAGTCAATCAATATTGAATGATAAAATTAAAAAACAAAACAAAACCTAGTGGTAACTAGGCTAATTCATGACCTAAATCATAAGATCATGATAAACACATAAAAAAAAAATTATAAATCTCAATTCTCAATCAACCCAATATTGAAGGATTAAATTGAAAAAAAACAATATTTCGAGTAAACCTGGATTAACATGTCAAAACTTGGTTAATATTTCGAGTCAACCTGGATTAACATGTCAAAACTTGGTTATGAGACCAATATAACTTCATTGAAAGAAAATAATAAAAAAATTATAAAGTCAAAATTTCAATTAATCCGATATTAAAAGATGAAATTGAAAAAGAAAATATTTAGTTATAGAAGGAAAAATAAAAACTTAAGTCAATCAAGGTAACCTGTAAAACTTGAAAACAAATGGAAAAAAGTATGAAACCTATTCTTAATCAACCTAATGTTGAATGATGAAGTTGAGAAAAAAATTAATAAAATAAATAAATAAATAACTCTAGTCAACTTGGATCTTAAGACCAAAATAACTCTACAGAAAGTAAATTAAAACAAATTATAAAGTTTAATACCCATTAAACCTAATATTGAAGTATAAAAAAAAAAGTTTGAACTAAAAAAAAACTTGAGGACCAAATAAGGTGAAAATATTTTAATTTATTTGTTTGTTTATGTAATATAAAAAAAAAATAAGTTTGAACAAAAAAAAAACTTGAGGACCAAATTGAAAAAGGTGAAAATATTTTATTGATCATTTCTAAAGTGAATTAATGTTAAGGCATTTTAGTATATGTTAATATTTTAATTTATTTGTTTGTTTATGTATTTCTTATTAACAACATACTTATCAAAAAAAAAAAATACGAGAACCAATTTTTATCCTGTTACTGATGGAAACTATCCAGCTTGAAGTCTATTATAGTTTTATTTTGTGGGAAATTACTTTATTCATTAGTTACTTTGTTTTATATTTGAAAAAGTAAAAAGAATTTTAACTATAGGCATTGATATAATCGAAATACAATTCAAACTCTTTTTTATCCTCACGAAAGATTTAATAACTCAAAAACTTATTCTACTATATAATAATTCAAACTACCACACGAAAATGAGGTTGAATTATATGTCTTCCACTATCATTTATGCATTTATATGTCATTAATTATCATTTGATCACTCCTTGTTGAATACTTTAATCCATGAATTAAATGACAAATAAAATAGAAAAAATCTAACTAATTTCTCAAAATAATCTAAACTTGCTGGCTAGAATGGTAAAAGAAAAAAAAAAGAATTTATCCTAAATAGTAACAAAAAGGATAAATATTGATTGAGAGGTTATATTTATGATTAATTGGAATTAATCCTTCTATCACAAAGTTCAATTATTCCCAGAGGAGACAAGGTGTGCCATGTGATTATAAATTATGAGTAATAGTTAAGATTTTTAATTCAATTTATTTTTACATGTTTTTCAAAAGAGTGTAATTGATTGAATTCAATTTTATAATATAATATTTTGTTCCATATATAAAAATTATAATGAGTTATTAATTAAATTTAAATTATGGGGAATTCAATTCTGATTTAGTTTTAAATAAGATGATTATATATATACATCAAAACAAATTAAATAAATAAATAAACTCTGCTAATGCTTATGTGACTCCAAAATGACAAGTACTTGGAAAGATCTGCACTAGTCATGCATATGAATTTCTCTACATACAGATATCCTTAAGTACTCAGGCTTAATATGGCCAAGCAAGAGTGTTGTGTAGACTAGGTTTCTATATAAAAATTTCCTGACTGCAATATGACCTTTAAGAAAGTGAAAGCTTGGTGCTAATTATTTTCTGTGTGCTTCTACACTGAGTCTCATGGTCATTGATTCCAACTCTTTGGCTCAGTCTCAGTTGCAGATCAGGCGGCCATTCCTTGTCATTCAACAATTTATCATTATTCAGCTGCATGCAAATCAAGAACATTAGAAGGAAAAAAAATCACAAAATAAAAGGAACAGAAGGTTTTAAATATGGCCCCAAACAATAACTCTAAATTCGAGATAATACCTCAAGCCGAAATGGGGGCTCAAACTCGGATTTAAAACAATTAAAATCGCCAGTAGAAAGAGACGAATTGACTAAGGATTGCTTTATCTTTACGTCATTTCCAGAGTTGACTGCAGATGGCTTCCGGTAGCTGTTTCTTGTCTCGAACAACCGTGGAGATGAACTATTTAGATGTGCCTGAGGTGGGGAGAGGGAGCAACTATTAGTGCAGGTGACACTGGTTGGATTATTTCTGATAATTTCGCAGCGATTTTTAGCCATTTCGAGTGGATGCCACCGCCGTTCTTCAAGCAATCTGACTGGCCTTATTGGCCTTATGTCGATTGCTGTTTCAATTCCTTGTCCAAGATCCTTTCTTGCCAAATTATTTTGCCTTGTTACTTCATGCGCACCAATTTCCCATTGTTGGTACCTGTAATTTTGACCAGAAAATGTCAAGCATTCTTATTATTGAACTTAATGGGATAGGAAACTCCATAATAGACTTTAGTACAACAAGAACTTCACCTTGAGAGCCTGGTTTTGTTACTTGGTGGTCTTTGGAAGAGGGAAGAGTGCAGAAGACTGTGACCAAAAGTATGCTCTGCAGAATTTCTGGCTAAAATAACTCCACCACTCCCCATTCTGAAGCATTGTTGAGGACAGGCTGATGAAATTTGGTGGAACTTGCTCTGAACGTAATCTTTTCCTGGCTTTGATCTGTATGTTTGGCATAGCACTGTGAAAAAAGAAAAAGAAAAGGAAGGGTTTAATGTTTCATTAATGTATGTTTGGCTTAAATACCTTCAAAATTACGTACGAAGGTTACATCAATGGCAGCCCGCAGGTGAAACAATTTAACAAGATCGAGACGATAAAACAGTTCTTATCACAACTACGTACACATCTAACTAAGCAACCAAATAACAGGATATTTAAACCGTGTGATCATGAGCATAACAGTTTACTTCTAATTCAAGATATTCATCAAATTTAGGTTGATTTAACAGGGATATGAAATAATACAATGATTAGTAGCATGCAGCACTATAGCCCGCTGTTACAAAAATACAGTATAGACTAACAAAATGGTAGTATATTTTATATAAATAAAAGTATATTCGTATTGTATTCTTTTTGTAAAATTAGGTGTAAGTGATTTATATGGAATTCTGAAAGGTATATAGCTACAAAGGGATGGTATGGAACTACTATATTTTTGTAAAATTAGGTGCAAGTGATTTATATTCCGAAAGGTATAGGGTTACAAAAGGCATTATAGAGCTACAAAGGGATGGTATGGAACTACTAAGTGGTATTATATTTTCTTACAAACGACAATAAATTCCAATATGTTTCTTTTTTTATATAAAAAAATGAAATTTAGTGTAAATGTTACACACCAAATTCTTCAACTGTTCATAACTAGCCTGCCGTGATCCTGTTAAACAATTATTTTCCTTCGAAATATTCTCCACACACAGTCCTAAAAGTTCACAGATAATCTTGTTTCCCGAATTCTTCTCTTCCTTATAAAAGAAATGAGAAGAAGAAAAATCCTGACTTTTAATTACCATCATCAAGCCACCCCATCATTAGTTTCATTCACCTCAATACAACTATCAAGATGGATGTGTCATACAATGTAGCTCATCAAGGTTTTTATTTTTATTTTTAATATCTAGAAATGATGGGACATTTTTAAGTTCTCTTCGAACCACCACAACTAGTACATGTCATAACTCATTAAGGACTTGATTGATTAATGATCTACAACAAAAATCAAAACAATTCTGGATTAGAAAATCTTTTCTGGATATATAATTATTTATTACAATCATAATTTATAATTGTTCTTAGTGATAGAGATAAACTTTTTTTAGTAAGTGATTGACAATTTTCAGGTCAAGATTTATTTTTGTATTGTATGATGATCTTATTTTAGAATGCGTATGGCATGAAATCTAAGTCAAAACATAGAATAATTAGGGAAGCAATTATTAATTATGGTGTTGATATTTACATGATTGTTGAAACCAAATTGGCTTGCTATTTTGATTCTCTCGTAAGAAGTTTATGGAATAGGCAATATCAAGGTCATGGTCATAAAGTACTCTAATTATGTTGAACAAAGAGTCTTTCTTAGTTTGATTGAAAATTATGATAAATAGACATGCATTTTTTGTTGTCATGTGGGAAGGGATTTGATTAGGCTGTTATTAGGGTATATGGTTATTACTTAGCTTAAAACAAAAGGATTATATGGTATAAGGTTATTGAATTATGCTTTGCTTTCATATTCCCTAATTTATAATGGAAGATTCAAATGCACCTGAGCATTGCTAAAATAAATAGTGGTTATTATTGTTACAGACATTTGAAATTAAAAATATTTAAGATGAATTAATTGGATTGATTATGGATATTTAGATTAACAAGTTTCAAATTTACCAAATTTAATTTTTATGTATTGTTAATGTCATATCTAGTGCTACAAGTAGAATTTTCTAGGATTCTAGTTCAGCTGAAAACTAGACATCACAAGTTTTTATTTATATATGGTAGACTTATTAATTCATCCAGAAAAAAAAAATAACATGTTTGAAGTAAAGTCAAAAGTTATTATATAGGTTTTTCTATTTGTTTTCTTATGATTTGTGGATTTTTTTATTTAGTAAGGATTCTTTTTCTATAAATGCAATACATGTGGCAATAACTGGAATTATTTTGGTAAAGATTTTCATATCAGTAATTTGTGTTTCTTTTTTTTTGTGAATTTTTTTATTGACAAAGTTTCCTTATTATCTAAGGACATTAAAGGTAGTTTTGGAATTATATTTTCTAATACAACATTTTACTTTAACAAGCATAATTTTTTTATTCAGTTTTTAAATAGGGCTATTTTTTTAAAAAAAGATTCTAAAGCCCTAGTTTTATATAGGATAGAGATTTCATAGCAATTTATATTAGTTTCCTAATTGATTTAAGATTCTCTTTTCTCTTTTATTTAGAACTCTTTTATTATTTTTTTACCATTGTTTATGATGTTTTTTCATTTTATAAATATAGTTATTTATCTTCTATTTAGGTTTTATTTTACTAAACTTGATTTCATAATAATCTAATGTGTGTGAGAAAGGAAATTCTCTTAATTTGGTTCTTTAATGAACTATTCTGACTTATAAGAAAAATTTCAATTCTTTGTAGTGTCTTCCATACTACTTGTTCATGTATCTTCATAAGTATTGGGAAGGGGTTTAATTTTTATAGTCTTCATATCTCAGTACAAGTTGTTATTGTGTCAAACTCAATCATAAGCCTGAATTTATCTTTATTTAGAAGGGTTAATTTGACTATAGGTTTTTATTTTTTATATCCATGAGGTTCACATTAGTTAGTATAAAAAAAAAATCTAAAATTAGATTATATCTCTTTATCTTTTAGGTTTCATGTTATTTTATTGTTGTTGTCATCTAGAATCTAGTCGTGGAAAAAGTAAAAAGAAAAAAAAAATTATTTGTGATCTAGTTATTTAAAATTTATATAAAAAAAAAGAAAAAAAAGTTTAAAATTGCAAAATTAGTTTAATATGTCTTCCAAAATCGAGTCAACATTCAAGTAAGGCGATGATTAGAAGCTGAATTTTTTTATAAAGAAGGAAAATGATGTGAGTCAGCAATTGTCACCAAATAATCCATTAAAGGTACCAATAAAGCCTATTATAGGTATGAAACTAAGAATATCTAGGAGAAATTGATTAAGTGATTCTGGATATTTGGATTAACAGTTTGCAAATCTTTTAAAATAGACCTTTATAAAAAAGAAAAAAAAGATTATTTGCGATCTAGTTATTTAAAATTTATATAAAAAAAAGAAAAAAAAGTTTAAAATTACAAAATTAGTCTAATATGTCTTCCAAAATCGAGTCAACATTCAAGTAAGGTGATGATTACAAGCCGAATTTTTTTATAAAGAAGGAAAATGATGTGAGTCAGCAATTGTCACAAAATAATCCATTAAAGGTACCAATTAAGCCTATTACAGGTATGAAACTAAGAATATCTAGGAGAAATTGATTAAGTGATTCTGGATATTTGGATTAACAGTTTGCAAATCTTTTAAAATAGTCCTTTATGTATTGTTTTAGTTATATATGAAGTTATAGGTAGAATTTTTACAAAATTATAATTGGGTTGAAAACTAGACATTGCATGCTTTCCATCTATATATGAGACTCACTAATTCATCTAGAAGAAAGAGAATAACATAGTTATAGGTAGAATTTTTACAAAATTATAGTTGAGTTGAAAATTAGGCATTGCATGCTTTCCATCTATATATAGTAGACTCATTAATTCATCTAGAAGAAAGAGAATAACATGTTTAAAGTTAGGCTAAAAATTATTATATAAATTTTGCTTTTTGTTTCCTTACTATTTATGAAATTCTTATTTAGCAAGGATTTGTTTTCAACAATGACAATATAGGTGGCACCAACTGGGATTATCTTGATAAGGTTTTTTTGTCAATTAAAGATATTAGAGGTGGTTTTAGGCTTATATTTTTTAATGCAGAGTTTTACTTTAACAAGTATAATTTTTTATCCAACAGTTGTATCAGGCTAAAATATTTCTAGAAGATTCTAAAAGCCTTATTTTATAAATTGTTAAAATTTCATAGCGATCATATATCGATAAAGCCTTGCTTATAAATGGTTAAAATTTTATAGCGATCATATATCGATAAAGCCTTGCGATAAGATTTAAAAGCTACTGAATAAGATTTGTATTAGTTTCCTGGGTTTCTAGAATTATTTTTCCATTTTTATTTAGAAGTATTTTATTATTTTTCTAGTCTTGTTTAGTTTTCTTCTTCTTTTTAACCTATTTTAAAGAGATGGCTTAGAATCAGGTCAATTATTGTAAAAAATAAAGCTCTCATACTCAAATAGCTTTAGAGATTAAGGTCCAGGAATTCAAAAGGATTGGAAGAATTTATATATAAAAAAGAAAGTATAAACCAAAGTTTAAGAATGATTGATTTAAAAAAAAAATGTTTATATCCTATTTGGTCAGGTATTTACTCCACTAATAACTCTAGTGATCAAAATTCAGTTGTTTTAAGAGATTGCTATAGATTTTCAATAGGAAATGTTGCCTTAATTTAGTTTTGGGATGGTGTTTGGGTTGGTGTAAAGTCTTTGTCTGAGCTTTATTCCTAGCTTTACGAATTATCTACTAAAAAAATGATATTAAGGATAGTATAAAATTTTATGATATGTTGGTTGTTGGTAATGAAATTATTAATGGAACTAAAATATTAAAAGTTGTTATATAAGTCAACTTGACAGTTTAATGGATTTCATTAATCATATTCATTTGCACAAACATGAAGATAAGAAGGTTAATTTAAACTTTAGATAACAAGCTATTTTACACAATCAAGTCATGCTTTATCATCGTAGACCGACTCTTATATTCAGATTTAAGACTATGCATCTCAACCATTAATTAGAAGAGTGTTTTTCCTCCATAAATTTAGAAGTTCTATGGTTAGCCATTTACAATAAGAGTGTTATATGGTGGAAAAGAATTATTTTTTTAATTCTTTTTTAGCTTAAATAAAATTATGGCAATGCAGGAAGACTTATATACCTTTCATAATCTCGTTCAGACACTACAATTCATATACTTTTTCAAATTTTTTTCTTGGGGATTTTTGTAATAAAATACAAATTGGTGGGGTCTTTCAAGAGGTATTCCTCAATCCGATCTTTTTCACTAGTAGCAAGGTTTGGTTTATGGTAAATTTCAGCAAACGATACTGTGGAAAGGATTTTTCTATAGAATAGTCTGGCTCATTTGATAAGCTAGAAATAAATTCTTCATTAATTCTTTGACTATTCTTTCATAGAGAAACAACATTTCTTCAATAATAGGTTCACCTACACTGTGGATACGTTAAGGAAAAAAGAGTGTGTTATTACCTGGAGTAATAGACATAACAGCTTAGATCTATTCCCTCAATAATAGGTTAATAGGTTAATAGGTTGAGCTATATTGATATGGATATGTTAAGGAATTAGGAGTTTATTACTACTTGGAGTAACCAGCGCCATTAACTCTCAGACATGTTACTTTATTTTTAGCTCCTTGGCTTCTTTCACTTGTTTTGATGGTTTTCCATCCACCAGATGACCAGCTTAATAAGATTTCTCGTCTTTCATCAAAATAAAATTGATTGACAATACTGGACCCAATCCCCTAACTAATGAAAAAACCAAAGTAAGAAAGAAAATATCACCTTGTCCGGCCTCATCAAGCTTCTTACTTCGGTACCTCTAATATGAACAATGAGAAAAGAATAAGGAAAACGAACAATGGCAAATCAAGATTCACTAGTACACAAGGTAAAACAGTGGTTATTGCAAGTACCTGTAGATGGCTCTTTACATGGGCAATGCTAAGCTCCCTCACATTCATTAACTGAAAAACTAACTTGGGAGTTGCTTCTTCACCAATTCAAAGAAGTTGTAAGGATGTAAAGTGAAATATACAATGGTTCTTATCAAAGTATTCTGATCCAATATTGACCATTATAAATTTCTATCAATTTTAACTTACTCTCTTGTCCACCAAGCCTTTCAACAGCATGCACAAAAGAGAGATGGAGATCAGGAGTCCATCGTAGCCGAGGCACTTTTGATCTAACATATTGCCTAACTGTAGGCCTGAGTCCATTTCTCTCTGCAGATGTAGCATTATTAGCAGAATTCCCTTCTGTTCTCTTGTCGCCATCAGTATTACTAGCTTCAGCGGTGCCATTATCCTCCGCGCTGGTTGCTTCTTCATTCAAGTCGTAGGATGAGCACTTTTGGGACGACAGTAAGAAAATGTTTTCAGCTTGGCCCTCCCAACCATCAATCTTTTCTTGATCAAGTATCTCTAGTCCTTCTTCCATAGCTAATTGTCTCCTGTATGTCTGAAGCTGCTGTTCTTTTAAAAGAGAAGGGAGTTAAACGCAAGCTTAGGCATGCATGCATTTTTAATTGCATGGAATGTCAAAACTGGGATGATAGTATTAGTAGCTGCATTGCTGTAGTCTTCGTTTTTTTTAACTCAGGGCCCAGTATTTTTGGGTTACCAGGGTTGAAATTGAGATCTCAACTGGAAAAACCTAAGTCTCAAATGCTGGCATGTCCTTTTGGCAGCATGCATTGAGATAGTTTAAAATATAGCAATTGACTATACCAACAAAATTTATGGCACAGCACATCGCACGAAATCCGTTAAGATGTTTATTGTTTTAAACATTTAATATAAGCTGCATTTTCAACCTGCAAAAATGGAATTAGTTTTACATTAATGATTTTGGTTATGAATGGTATTTCGATTTTCTCTGATATGCGACACCGAATTTGTGCTATCTACGTACAGTCTCGTACATTAATTGTCGGATCAAACCTCTATCAGTGAGTAACTCAGTTAGGTAAAAAGAATCATAACAAATGATGGTAGGAGGTAGAAGACCTGTTTTCGATTTATGATGTTCCTAGCTAGATGTTTCACGAGTATAAATCCAAGGAAGAATGACTCATCAAACAACAAATGCTTGAAAAATTACACTTCTAAAAGCTGGACAGTAAAATTTCACGATATTAAAAGTTTTGTTGAGCTGGGTTGGTCTTATTTATTGTGGACGTTTATAGAATTGAGTGACTGACTAGATGGTACAACTTTTTTCATACTAAGAACTGAAGAAAAAGGAATTTAAATGCCAAATTACTTTTCGATACGCACCAAAGCTAGAAAACAGCTGAGAAATGAGGTAAAGGCATGGGGTCATTTTATGTCAAGACATCCTTTTCTTCCCCACTATCCCTCGTGGAACAAACAATTATTTTCTAAGACGGGAACGAGATATAGAATTTCTGTCTTTTTGGGTTCCATTTTATATCAAAACTTACATTGCTATTATAATGCTTTTGACACACGATGTGTTCCCGAGAGTCCCTTTTTCTGTTCACGATCCTGTCTGCATTCTGCAAAATCAAAATTTCAGAAAAAAGAAAGTAAAGCTTCTGTTGAAAGCTCAAACTTATACAGCTATTAAGCACATAAGCATTTAAAAAGGCATGAAAATATATAAATTAAGATGTTAACTTTTGAAAACAGTACCAAGCGATTATAATTATCATGAAACTATCAAACGCGTTAGCTGTTTTCCATTTAGTGCCTATATAAGAAGTTAAAGACACAGCAAGCAAGTGATTGTTTTGCCGTGTAAGAGAAGTTCTAATTAGCTCAGTTATATTAATTTGATTTAGATAAAAACAATCCACATATTATATATCTCAGAAGCATCTTTGGTTTACATACATGTGTGTCTGTGTTAATGTATAAGCAGTTGATAAGTACAAATGTATGCGCTCAGAAGTTATTCCACAAAAACATGATTCTTGAGCAAGGAAATGTGTAATTGGTCATTGGATTTAAGTACGTCTGACGAGAGATTCTTATATTGTGATCAGAAGCATGTTACTAAACTATATATGTTCTAAATTGGAATTAATTCATTTGATCGTGGAAAGCTAAAAAACTTCAAAACATAACAGAGCCTGTAATATTCGAAAACCAATAAACAAAAATATTGTGATGCAAGGATTTTAATAGGTCATGAAATTTATGAAAAACCGGGTAAAAAAAGGACATGAAGAAATCATCAGGGATTAAAAAAAAACTATTTCCTTTAAACTGCTTTAAGGGTAAAGAAAACTGGCAAACAAATCATCTTTATCTCCTTTCTTAAAGTCTTGGAAAACATTTATAATTGTATGATGGCATGAAAAAAAATACCTCAGCTATGCTAAAACCATGACATCAATATATATATATTCATAATTTTGTTTTCCTAACCCCTAAATACAAACCAGTTGGTGATGATGATGCCTCGATCATACAAGTTGTTGGTCGGATTGTGTATAACTTCAGCTTATACATGCATACACATACATATATATCGCCGGACAAATCATGACATGTCTCTCCTAAACATGAAGATTGAGGAAGAGAGAGAGAGAGAGTGATCAGAGGCAATGTCTTATCTGTATTTGGTTTGTGATGTTTTTGTATGATTGGAAAACCATGGAATCAAAGTTCAACCGATATTCTAAGACTTTCATATGTTATTTATGAAATGTAAATGCAAAATCAACGATTTTTAGGGCAGTCCAACTTGTACTCTTTAAATGGGCACAGACGCGACTGTTGAGAGTATCATGTAACTCAAGACCTTTTTCTTCTTTCTCTTCTTCTTCCTCCACAGTTGTCCCTCCAAAATTCCTCTCGTGATTATCTTAAATGTTTGACCTATGTTATGGTGGCATGTGTGTATGATTTTACTAACAAATCAGGGACCATTTTCTTAATCTGTGTTTAATAATATTAATAAACGTGGTACCTTTTCATTTCATCAACCCATCAATTTTCTTCCCACCTAACACAAAGACTTCATTGTTTTTCTGTTCTGTACAAACATGAACAACTTTTTCCTGTCCCTATGTTCTTATTGATAGGGTCTACAGCTTTCTTGTGCAAAGCATGTGGCTCTATGACTCTGATTTAAGGGATGTTTGGGAGATTATGTTAGTTGTTGTAGTTGGAAGTGTTTTTATTTTATTTTAAAAAAATTAATTTTTATATTAGTCCATCAAAACAATTTAAAACATAAAAAAATTAATTTCAAATAAAAAATTAATTTTTTTAAAAAATTTCCAGATACTGTTTTAATGACATAAATGACCCAAAAATAATTAATCGGTCGATGAAGAAATACTATCAGCTGAATTCATTCGTCAATTTTGGGAGGACTTTTGCATGCGAACAAATCTCTCCTCAACACATTCAATACTTTGCGAATGGTAACCAGTCATGTTTCCATAACATTTGACAAAAGAAATTTGATGAATGTGCTGAGATCATGACGTTGATGTAGAGACTTCTCGAGGAAATAAAAGATGCATATATTAGTGTGTGAATTGAGTTTTTTTTATGAGCCTGATCGAGCTAGTTTCATGCATGAAAAATATTTTCAATTTTTCTTCATTTTCTAATGTAAGAAAAAATAAAAAATTAATCCACTAAAAATATTTCCTTATTTTTTCTGATGAAACTCTTAATAATGCTAATTTTTAAATAAAAAACTGTTTGTTTTTTGTATTTTAAAAATATTTATGAAAACATTTGAAAATATTTTAATTTTTTTATTTTAAATTAATATTTTTTTAGTATTTTTATATTATTTTGATATATTGGTGTCAAAAATAATTTTTAAAAACTAAAATAAATATTTTTTTAATATATTTAAAATAAAAAAATATTTTAAAAAATAATCACCATAATAAAATAAATCTCTAATTTATGTTAGCAACCGCCTTACGTAGCCGAAAGACAAATGAATTTGGCAGAGGGGCCTTCCAGTTCCACGAAGCGCCTGGACAAGGATCGACAAACAAAAAGTAGTAATATAATGGTCGCATGATGTCCCTTTTTTATATGATTGCTTTTATTTTTATCGAAGATAAAGGATATCATTGGATTCTATTGCCCATTAACTGAAACCAAGTGTTCTTTTTCTTAATGGTGCATCTTCTATTTCAATGCATCTAAAATAATTTAATAATTTTTTATAATGCCTAGATCTAAGTTTTAAACTAGAAAATTAAGAAAGGAAGTATATCTTTTTAATCATTGTCAACTGAAGTAGACAAAAGTAAAATAACAAAGTCAGCATGTATAAAAACATCAAGTTCTGTTAAAAAAGAATCACACAAAAATTCTAAATCAAGATTTTATTATTAAATACTCTTTGTTGAAGTAATTTATTCCTCTAAAAGGTTTACAACTCCTTAAACAAACCTAAAAACTAACCTAAAAGAATAAAAAATCTAAAAATAAAATAAAATAAAATTCTAAACAAACTAGAAAAAACATCCTTAATAAAGTTGAGAAAATAATAAAAGAGTTTTAAAATTAATAAAAAAATTATAAACCAACTAGAAAAATATAACAAATTTCAAACAATAACTTCTGAGTAATATTGAAAAGCCTTCCCAATCTTTAACTACAATAAAATTAACTATATAGAAAACGAGACTTTTGAAATCTACATGTAAAATCACATTATAATTTAATGATTGAATTAAAAATTATGTCTATTAATATAAAAATATATAGTAAAAAAAAACATTTTACATTAGTCTTTTCAAATTAGAGAAAAATTATTTACGAGTTTAAATTACACTTGCTTCAATCTCATGAATATCCAATCAAAGCTCTTCAGCCACTTTTTTTTTTCTCTTTGCTTTGAGTATATAACAATTTTAAATATCAATTTTAGTCCTTTCTTCTTAATACTTGTATACAAAACAAAAATTGATGAATTATTTCTTTTCCATTAATCTCTGAAATAATAAATTCTAAACTATAAACTTGCTTCATAAATATTTATTGTATTCATATAAACCTTGAACACATATACATTTATGATAATATTAACCTTGTAATAGAAGGATCAACATAGTTTAAATCAATACCAACAATTGTCGCATCATCAACATTGCTGTCATTTTTTATGATGTTATTATCAACATTATTATCTTCAAAATAAATATCGATTTACAATTCTTTAAATAGACCCAAAAACTAACATAAAATCCTATACAAACTAGGAAAAATATCTTTAATAAAACTAGAAAAATAATAAAAGATTTTAAAGCTCAATAGAAAAAGAAATCCTAAACCAACTAGAAAAATATAACAAATCTCAAATAATAACTTGTTGGAAATATTGAAAAGCCTTCATAATCTTTAACTACAATGAAATTTAATGATATAGAAAACAAAGCTTTTGGAATCTCCAAGAAAAATCTTATCACAATTCAATGATGGGATCAAAAGTCA